GGTGGAAAAAAAGAAACAAAATCTATGAATTTTTAAGTGTTTTAAGAACCAAACCAGATTAATTCTGGACCCAGGAAGGTGGACGGAAACAAAACCATTTTCAGGCAAAAGATTGGCCTAACAAAAACCAGTCACAGTCCTTGTACAATTTTTCGCTGAACTCAGATCATGAGTTAAACTGATTGTATTACTAATTAAACGGCTTTAAATTAATGGATTTGATAAGCATTTCAGGTTAGGGGCCTTTAAATGTGAGAAACGAATGAAAATGAAGATACTTTCTTGTAATCATATATACATGTCCAACAGAAAACACTGACCCCTTTAGGAGGTTCAGCCTGCGGATTCCAGAGCTGAACCGATCTCAGCCAGTCAGGCTTCTTATCAAACCCGTCACCAATCCATCCATTTCCATGATTGTTATTGTTCTCTTCATCAGACGAGGAACAACTCGGCCTCAATGGAATAAACTCCTCCAAGATCGGCCCTTCACTACTGATCTCCTCACTTCCACCCACCTCCGGTTTCTTGCAGCTCTCGATCGCTGAAATCCCATCAGAAAATAGAACTCAAATATCAAAACCCATATGTGTGATTTTTAACATTCTTATCAATTAAAAAAAACTGATACCTTGAGTGACAAGTAGCAGGCTTAGAGGCAGTTCTCGCTCGAAAACTAGAATCTTTTCCCTTTCTTTTTCAAGAGCTTTGATGTAATCCATGGCTCTGCGACCATTCAGATTGAAAATGAGAAACAAAAAGGGGGAGAGAGAGAGAGAGAGGAGGAGTCTTTTCGGGTTAGAAAGAGAGGAATACGTTAGAGAGAGAAATTATAAAGAGAGGAGAGAGAGAGGAGAGGGAAGGAATCGGGGTCCGGTCGTCGCGTACACAACAGAATCTAGGGATGCTGACGTCAGCACATTACAAGGCGATAAGATCGAAGACTTGGACTCATCTCGGCCGCTTAAATTCAAACGGAGGGTTGGGGTTGCATACGTGCCGAGGAGAATCGAGCGGGAGAATTTGGGGGAATCTTGACAGGATTCCAGAGACATCCGTGGAAGCCGCTAGAGAATTAGGTTAATGATTTGATATTTGGTGTTTTATTATCATTGCGCGTGGATAGGATTTGGTGAGGGGCTTAGCCTTTGGAGGAGGGGAAAGGTCACTTTTAGGGGGTTTTGTCTTGGAGAGGGAGTTAGGTTTGTCCAAGGTGAAATCTTTTAGAAAGAGAATAAACTTGCAGAGGAAGAATTATCCACTCTCAGATGAAAATATTTTTTATTAGAATAAATAAATATGCGGGATTTACTGAATTATACATACACTAGCAGTAAACAGACAAATTTCGGATGGATTTGATATGGAGGTTTACTTTGGAGATTTCGGCCTTTTTCGGAAGGGCTCAGACTGTATCCTAGCATAAGAGTATCCCGACAAGAATTTAACATTAGAGTATTCTACGCCGGCGTTTACTCCGTCTGAGGTTCCTCTTGCTCTTCGTCGAGGCAAACGGTCACATATCATATCTGTACGGTATGCTTCGGTTACTTCCTATTCACCTATCTTTCATAACTTTCTTGCTGTCATTCATACTACAGTTGAGCCAAAGCCCTTTCAAGAGGCTATTCAATTTTCAGAGTGGCGACATGCTATGGCTGAGTAATTTCAGGCCTTTCAACAAACACATATCTAGGATGTTGTTCCTTGTCCTCCCAGCATCTCTCTAGTTAGCAGTAAATGAGTTTATAAGGTCAAGTATCGTCCTGATGGCACCATTGAACGTCGTAAAGCTCGTTTAGTGGCTCGAGGTTTTACTCAGCAACAATGTATTGATTAGGAGGAGACATTTGCTTCTGTTGCTCAGATGCTCACCGTTCGTACTCTCCTTGCGGTTGTTGCTGCTCATCGTTGGCCCTTATACCAGATGGATGTCAAAAATATTTTTCTCCATGACTCTTTATCTGAGACAGTATATATGTAACCATCTCCAGGGTCCAATATTCCTCCGGGACATGTATGTCTCCTTCGCCGTGTTGTTTATGGTCTCAATTAAGCAGGCACCCCGCGCTTGGTTTGAGTGTTTTCGCGATGTCGTTCTTGTTTGGGGTGAAAGTTGGTTTATTTATAGAATCCATTATAATTTTTTATCAATTAAAGATTCAAAAGAGTTAATCTTTTTATAAGATTACTTGCTTACACAAATAAAATAAAAAAATTACAACTCTCTTCAAACACACACAGAGGACGTTTATCACCCGCTGCTTGCGTAGGATCTTTACCTGTGTCAGGGACGTGTTAGTCCGTGGACCATCGCGGATTAGATCCGGTTGACAGAATTAAAATTCAATACTCTTGCTTCACAAAAGAAACAATCGCAGAAGTGATAATCTCGACCAAGCGAGATTACGACTCTTCTCGAGATCAAAACCAAATTTGATCAGGAGGAAAGGGGAAACATGCCTCAAATCCTTCGAATAGCTCCCTCTTTATGCTGAAATTCGCCAAGATCTGCTAGCCCCCCTCTGAAATTCATAGATCACTCTTCAATTTGATAGTACATCGTCTCCATTTTAGATCCCCTACATATAGGACCCTAGGCTTTTATTTATAGGCTTCGGTTGCAGGGTTTTTAGATAAGAATTGATGATTTGATATTATCCTCAGTTAATAACCGCTTAACCATATTTAGGGATAGCTTTAAAACAATTAGGGAGGCTCTGGAATGAAAGAATCCTGAGAAAACTATCAAAAAATGCGTTTTTAGCGTTTCTGGGCGGGAGCCACACAATAGTGGCTCGGATCTTTGCGAGCCACCTTATGCTGGCTTGGCCTTGGCCGAGTCATTTCGACGGGACTCGTCCGACAGGGCTTTTTCCGGTTTGTTCCTGTTCTGTCGTTTTGCATATTTCATCGTTCTGTTGACTCGTACGCTTCACCGATTCGCTTTATGTATTTTGTTAACTTGGAGGTGGCTGATGAGCGCGCGGACCATTTGGAGGTGGCTGATGAGCACGTGGGTCACATAGAGCTGGCTGATGAGTGTGCGGGCCACTTGGAGATGATCGATGAGCACGCCGGCCACTTGGAGGTGACTGATGAGCACGTGGTCCCTTGCTTTGCCGTTCCGGTGGCTTATTGCTACGTCATCAACGGTTCGCCGCTTTGTTATTTCGACAGCTCATTGCCATATTGTCTGACGATTCATCGCTCGATGGATCATTATCTCTAGCTGTGTTTGGGACCTATAGGTAATTTTTGATGCCTACAGATACCCCCCTCCAAAGTGTTCTAGTTTCAGACTTTTATAAAGGAGACTAGAATATTTTGGATATGATATGCTTAGCTTTCAATTAGTCGACTTCTTCAGCTTTTAGTTAATTCAGCATTTTGTCGAATAGCTAAAATTCTTTCGGTACTGCGTTTATCATCTGATTGTTGTCAAAATCTTAGACTGAGACTGGCGTGTTGATATCTGAATTAGCTCGTGTTGTAGGATCGACGTTGAACTGATTAACTTCATCGGGAGTTTATATCTGAATTGTGATTGAAGCCCCCGGGGTTGATTCGGAATTAAGAATAATCTTGAGCCTTCTTTTGGCGAAACTATCAACGCATTGACCAGCGTTGACTTTCATCGTCAACATTGACTGGCGTCGATTCGTGTTGAACGGTGTTTGACTCGCGTTGACTTTTATCCTCACGTGTTGACCGGTGTCGAATTGCGCTGAATGGTGTCAACTCGTGTCGACCTTCATTGTCACGCGTTGACCGGCGTTGACTTTCATCATCATGCGTTGACCGGTATGAACATAATTTATACTCATACGTTAACTGGAGTCTACATAGTTTAAGCTCTTAAGGCATTAGAACGAGGAGGACCAGTTTATACTCATATACTCCTAAGAGTTTCGGGAATTAGTTTAACTTCATATACCCGTTGGAGGTTCAAGGAGAAATAGTTTGAACTCGTATACTCATTGGAGTGTGAATACGCATCTCGAATACGTCGAAAATGTGCAAAAATAGGCAAAAATGCATACCAAACACCCTCGAGACCCTCCACTCGTGCGAGCCAGCTCTTCGTGGGCTCGCAAGTGTGCGAGCCAACTGAGAGGCTGGGGTTGGTTCGGTTTAGGGTTGGTCCAGAGTCGAATTAGGTTTGGTTTTGGGTGTTTTAAAACTCCAATCTCCTCTTCTCCTTCCTCTTTTCTTCCAAGTTTGGGTTTCTCCCTCGAGATTAAAACTCCTCTCCCACTCGAATTCTTCTCAGTTCTTCATAAAAGGGATTCCCAAGTTCCTCTTCATCTCCATCTCTTTGAATCTGAGCGAATCTAAGATGGTTCTCATCTTAGGGTTTTGGCTTTTGGAGATCTTCAGTTCAAGTTTTTTACTTTGGTTTTCTCTCATTTGATTCAGGTAAGCTTCCCTTCATGGCTTCAATCTTGGTTGAAATTCAAGCAATATTGATCTTTAATTCTCGAATTTTGATGAATTTTAAAGGCTAGGGTTCGATTCTCCCTTTCAAGTTCGTGCACTTCTGCACCATGACTTCATCTCTTTGATCTCAGGTAAAACTGCCCCTTTTCATTCTCTAATTTTTTGGTTTTGGGGGTCTCCAATTTTTGGTTTTGTGTAAGTGCCGAACTCTTTCGATTGGTTTTGAGGCCTTTAGCCTATTTTCGTATGCTTAATATGGCCAAAACTTTTCGTTTGTTTGTATGCATGAATTTGGTCGAACTTAGGCTTACAATCCTTGGGCTTTTAGTCGTGCATGAGAATTGAATTTGTATGCACGTTGAGCTCTCTTGTTTGGCTATGTGCATGTCTTAAACCGAAACTCTGAGATGGTTGGCTTGATTTGTTGAACGGTCGGTTGTGAATGAAAATCAAACCGAGTCCTCAACTTATCGCCTTAGCTTCATGTATTTGCTTTCCCTTTCTTTAACTTGAATTAGGTATATCACATAGGTTTAATTGGACATTTAACCAGAAAATCCTATTTTTATAAAATTTTAGTCAAATATCACAATTTCTCTTTTTGTATTGGATTCATGCTTCTCGATTCTCGACATAACTGAACTGATTTTTGTTGCAGATTAGACATGTCACCGAAGAGGTCATGCATCCCGAGGGGTTGCTCAGCTACTCAGTCACCTGAGCCAGAGCCTTTTTCTTACGCAGGTAACCTTTTATCACCTTTTGTTTGTGAATTCAATATTAATATATGTTGTATACTGTATCTCCACTTTGTTCTCCTTAGTGAGGCAATTGGGAAGAGCTGACATCCTCCTTTGTGAGGGTGAAAACTTAAAAGATACGTTTTGCATGGTCAAGACGCGTCTTAAGGTAATAAGGGGCGATTTCATACTATATCGTGTTACATGGGACAAGGTATATTATCACGTTGATTGCGCGATAATATACCTTGTCCTCCGTGTACATAATACAGTTGAAATCGTCTCGCCAATTACATGGCCATAACTCTATCTCACAGATCCGTGAGATGAGTTCAATGCCTATATTGCCTTAAAAGGGACATCCTTGTAACTGCGTTTAATAAATACGCATTACTTGTTTCAGTCGAATTCCATCCAAAGATGTTTTACGGCCATGTAGTGGACGGCCATTGCAGTGAGGCTTATACCTCTACTGATGACCCTATGCTCATTCCGGCTGTTCCTAATTTTCTCCAGGTGGGCTTGAAGAACTTCCTCAGCTAGTATGGAAGGGAGATCGTCGTACCCTATGGCAGCTGATCACTGATGCACCCCTTGTCAAAGATTCCAGCTCTACCCATCCTT